AGATTCACACCCTCAACACGGCCACCTCCCACCTAGCCCTTCTATGCACCCAGCTCGCGCTCGTCAAGCTCCTCGGCAGATGGCGAATCCAACCAACTGCCGTCATCGGCCACTCGCTCGGCGAATACGCCGCATTATACGCGGCGGGTGTCATCAGCGCCGGCGACGCGATATACCTCGTGGGAAGGCGGGCCTCGCTGCTGGACCAGCACTGCAGAAAGGGCACGCACGGCATGCTCGTCGTCAAGGCGTCGCGTCGGGAGACGGAGCGTCTGCTGCGCGTGGTAGGGAACGACGTCGAGGTGGCTTGCGCGAACCATCCTGGCGCGCATGTCGTGGCAGGCCCCAAGGACCAAATGCCTGCTGTGATTATCGCAGCCCACGGGGCGGGATTGGCAACCGTCGAGTTGGACGTGCCGTTTGCCTTTCACTCGAGCCAGGTAGAGCCTATCCTGCCGGGATTCGAGGCGGCCGCCGCGCAGGCCGGCGTTGTTTTCCGCTCTCCCAAGGTGCCTTTTATTTCGCCGTTGCTGGGGAGAGTTGTGGCGGAAGGCGAAGACGGCGCTCTCAACGTGTCGTATCTTGCGCGGGCTAGTCGGCGTCTTGTCGACTTTAGCACGGCTTTGACCGTGGCACAGGGCCAAGGGTTGTCTGGCAATGGTGTGATTTGGTTGGAAGTCGGAGCGCACCCTCTTTGCGCCTCGATGATTAAACAGACTCTCGGGGCGGGGGAACAGGTTCTGAATACGTTGAGAGAAAACTTGGGAGGATGTAAAACCATGGCCAAGGCGGTAGAGGTGCTGTACCTTGCAGGTATGGACGTGGACTGGAATGAATACCATCGCGAGTTTCCGGCAGCGCATGTGGTTTTACAACTTCCTCGCTACGCGTGGGACCTGAAGAACTACTGGATCGACTACAAAGATGACTTTTGTGTGAAGAGGAAGATTTGTTTGGGAAAGACGCAAGACGGGGAACGCCAGACTCGAGTCGAAACGTTCAAGTATATATCTCCTGTGGCGCAAAAGGTCATAGAGGAGACGCACACGCAGACCAAGTCTTGCATGGTTGTGGAATCAGACATCTTTCATCGGGAGCTATTGCCGGTTCTGCGAGGCCATGCCATCAATGGTTCATTTCTTTGCCCTTCGGTAAGTCCATGTGTACCGGATCTGCACAACGCCCACCAGCTCACTATTGTTATCTGCAGTCGCTGTATGCCGAGATTGCCCTGACCCTTGGCGAGTACCTCGTGCAAGAACGCAAGTTGTGTCGAGAGAGTACCGGGTTGGAGATTTTTAACCTCCGCATCGACCAGCCTCTTATTGCAAAGGACGATGAAACAACCCGCATCTTTCGAGTCACAACGGAAGCAGACTGGAGCTCCAACATGCTCAGCTTGTCTATTTCCAGTGTTGCTCCGTCTGGGGAGCAACCTGTTTCCCATGCTACCGTCAATGTCCGCATTGTTCCCGATCAGCGCTGGCTCGCGGATTGGAAGCGCAACTCACATCTTGTCATGTCAAGAGTCCAGGCGCTTGAACGAAGCAACAATAGTCAGAAGCTGCGACGACGCATGGTTTACAAATTGTTTGCCGCCGTGGTCGACTACAGTGACGCTTTCAAGGGCATGTCCCAAGTTCTGCTGGACACGGATGCGTTGGAGGCCGTTTCGACTGTGCAATTCCAAGTTGAATCCCGGGAGGGCCGGCTCGGTATGGATGCCAGGTGGATTGACAGCTTGGGCCATATTTCGGGCTTCATCATGAATGCTAATGATGCCATGAATAACCAAGAGCAAGTATTTATCAACCACGGATGGGAAAGGCTGCGCCATGCCGAGAAGCTCACGGCATCAAAGACGTATCGCGCATATTGCAGAATGCAGCTTGAAGAGAAGACGACTTTTGTTGGCGATGTGTTTGTCCTTGATGGGGATCGGATAGTAGCCGTGTACGAAGGAATCAAGGTATGTCGAGCCTCGCCAACCGCTTTTATTGCACTTTACTCCGCTCGTCTCTGTCTTGACCTCTAACACATCACAGTTTGTCGGAATGCAACGTCGGGTTCTCAATCATCTGTTGCCTGCGAAACGCCTAGTCAGAGGACAAGAGCCAGCCGCAACGGGGGCTGTTCGGCACGATTCCGACCTTTGCTATTCCGGTAGCAATGCCAAGAAAAGTGTTTCTCATGAAGTAGCCTCGGCCATCGACAATACGTCATCCGTTTCTGCGTCTGGGTTTGGGCCTGTGATGGAGATTATTTGTCAAGAAATTGGGATCCCACCCTGCGATCTGGACCCCGAGTCCCAGCTTGCCGACTTGGGCATTGACTCACTACTATCTCTGACCATTACTTCTCGCATTCAACAAGAGCTTGGACTAAGTATTTCTTCAGCGGAACTTCTTGCGTGTGGGCTGGTAGGCCAAGTACAACACCTGACGGGCTGCGAGGGCAGTTTCGTCTATTCGTCCTCAACAGACGACAACTCCTCCAATGGCAGCGAGGTTGCCAGTGCTTATGAGAGCGTCGTTTCAGCCACGAGCGAGGTATGCATGTCAGAAACATCAGACGGCGATTCGATCCGAAGCGTGTTGTGGGAGACGATCGCCCGCGAAACGGCCACACCTGTCGACGAATTGTTGCCATCTACCTCTACTGCCGACGCCGGCATTGATTCTCTTCTTGCCATAATAATTGCAGGGATACTGAGTGACAAGCTTAGCGTCAAGATTACGGGAACCACCGTCATGGGCTGCGAGACTCTTCTCGATTTAGAGGTAGCGTTACGCAAGATTCTCTGTAACTTGCCAAGCCCAGGGTCAGCAGGAGCTATAAAGACTGGTTTCCCAAGCGCCCCTACGACGCAGGTACTTGATGTTATTCCCAAGTCCATTTCAGCCGAGAATTCCCACGGATCAATACTCTCACGAGACTCGGCGGCAGCCTCTGTGCTTCTGAGCGGTTCAGTGAGCACGGCCAAGTCCGTCTTGGTCCTTTTCCCAGATGGATCTGGATCAGCCGCATCATATGCCAGCCTAGCTCCGACATTTTCCAAAGACGTGGCCGTGTACGGAGTCAATTGCCCCTGGCGCAAGAATGGCCTAGAGTTGATTCGGAAGAAGATCACGGTCTCTCAAATTGTAGCCAGGCAACTGGTTGAAGTCCGCCGCATCCTTGAGACTCATAAGTTGCACGGTTGGCGAAATTACCCCAGCGGGACTCCGAATCTGGTGTTTGGGGGCTGGTCCGCAGGAGGTGTACTTGCATATGAAGCCATACGACAATTAGCTGATGAAGGCGTTCCTGTGAGGAAATTGCTTTTACTAGACTCACCGGATCCCTTCGGTTTACAGATCCCATCGAGGAAAATGTCTTTCTTTTTGAAAGATGTACTAAGGTTTGGGAGAACGGGGAACGTGGCAGACTGGATCCTCCAGCATTTTGATGGCATGGTCGAGGTGTTGGGAGCTTATTCGCCGTTGCCACTTCCAAGCAATACTGACCTGGACACTTTGCTAGTATACGCAAGGAAAGGGGCCAACAATGATTTCGACGACCAAGAGAGAGAGCTCAACGTCCCTGGTAATCGTGACATCAGTTGGATTCTGAGAGATCGCACTAACTTCACTGCTACTGGTTGGAAGCGCTTGGTGGGATCCGAAAGGATTGGCATAGAGATCTTGGACCTGGCTGATCACTTTACAATGATGGACGATGTACATCAGCTGAAGCAACTCGGAAATATGGTGAATAGCTTTTTGAGATGAACAAGTATAATATGCCTGGTAGACTTATACGTGCTTTGAACATGAACTCGGGAGTAATGCATGAAATAATAATTACTTTCCGAGGTGATGAACTTTACCACGGATCTTGTGAGTCTCTTACTCTTACTGGATCGCGAATGCTTGCGATTAAAATTCCCGAGAGAACAGCATGTAGGAGGCGTTTGTGAGCTCGAGAATACAGCCGACTTCTTCTGGACGCAAGGCGCTTGCTATTTATATTCATTTTGCAAGGTGGCCATTCTCAAGGGCTTGTTTTTATGAAGTGAGCAGAGGGATCAAAGTTAAAAGTTTCGCAGACTCCCGTATTATTGAAAAGGCTGCTCCAATCAAGTCGTCAATAGTTTCCTGGCGCGACGACTCCAATTCAGCAGCTCAAGGGATACCTGAGTGGATTCATGTTGAGACATGGTCTCTGCGACCCGTGCTATATGGCACTTGAAATCCTCTTTAGTCGCAGCCAGTGTATCTGCGTGTTTCAGTCTAGTAGCGCTATGGCTCCTGTCTTTGACTATCTCTTTAGCTGTCCAATACGTTCACAGACACCTACTGGTTGACGTTTCACTGCCGGCAAATTGCTGTGTCACTTGAAGTAGCATCAGGTCTCCAGATTCACCGACACAAGGATGATCTTTTGTAGCGTCATGCCTTGCTCCGGTAATCTCAATGCTTAAGCTAGGTGTGACATGAGTATGAAGGTTACAAGGTCAAGCCGCCGCCGACTTCACAGACGTGCATATGATTTGCCATCAACACCCACGCAAGCGAATCTGCATTCTAGACGCGGTAGCATTAGTCACATGGCGTGACATGACACATCACAGTGAGACACGGCCCAGCAGGACGCGACGGTACGCATTGCGTTTTAAAAGAGACCACTACTCCGTACAACACAGAGCTTGATTGTAAGCATACACCCTCCTAACATTGCTCCCGTATGCAAGACAAGACAGAGAGACGATAAATTCCTGCGTCTAGGATACAGTTGTGTCGGCGGTATCACAGGATATTTTGGGTTGCGTGTCTCAAAAGGTTTCTAGGTGTGACAAGGCGTGCATATATGGCGTTTGGGCATGTATTAGTAGTCTGGGATTCCCTGCTTCTATATCCCGCCCCTTTGCATATAAAGACGTAGTACTCCCCATCTCTATATCCCATTCACAACCCAGATCCTCCTAACCATCTCATCTCTCACACACCCAACAACTCATCATGATGGTAAAGACAATAACCCTTGCAGCCCTAGCGGCTGTACTCAGCCTCACTACAGCGTATGTTTGTTCAAACCTATTCGCTTTCATCATACTAACCCGCCACAGCATTCAGCAGCAGCCCATGAGCCCCACGGCAAATGAAGTTCCTGGAAGCCTCGAGGTCGTAGCCGATGAGCCAGAAAAGGTCGAGTTCCTAGGATACGTCAATTCAACCGACTTGGCAAACGCGGACTGCCCGCAATTTCCCCGGAATGGCCAAGACACCAAGGTGGGCGAAGTCTGGGAAGAGAACCCCAATGACTGGTACGCCCAACCGTTAAAGTGGTGGAATCACAGACATGCTTTCGAGCCTGGATTCTGCATCGAGACTCGATTTGGCTGGGACAAGGACACGGGGAGATGGTTCAAGGCCAACCATTTACGAGACTCGGCAACCTACTCCGAATGGTACCTGAGCGACTGGGCGTCTTTTGGGCCCGATTTTGGTGAAGGCATCGTTGGCTGGAATGCTGACAAGGCACGATGGCAGATTTGCAGGGGTGATGTGCCAAGCTGTGGCGGCGGCTCACGGTTCGCCATGAACAAGAATGAATGCAGCAGATTCAAGATCAAGACGGGGCGTGTTATCATAGCGTGTAAGACGTACACCAATGACAATAATAGGATCTGCGGCGAGAAGAGCAGGAAGCACCATGGCCGTAAGAGATGCGGTACGGGACGGAACTCGCATTATTGGTTTGGGACAGAAACGGGATGTTGGGAGAACTAGGGTAGTCCGTCGCGGCAGTACTGCAGTATTGTGAAGAAGGAGAATTGCTGAGATGGGCAGAAACTTGATAGCTACCTGTCCATGAGATGGAGTTTGAATCATCGTAGCACTGTACACGGATTGTCCCATCTTTGCAAACACAAGGGCAAACTTAGCGGTGTCGTATCGCTGACTGCAAATCACTGAATGAGCAACGTGATCTAATTCTCTTATTGTGAGATTGACAATGGAAATGTGTCAGACCTCGTTCTGGGAGAGACGTCCGCTGCTGAGTAGGCCTGATATACGACACACGCCCCAGCGGTTGAGTGATCAAGTCAGCGCTATTAAGTTATCACATCCACCCATGGATTTATCATTATTACATTTTACAGTTTCTTCTTACATATTCATATTCCTTTTAATATCTATTCAATTAAATATTAGTCGGAAATGCTCAACGTAGGTGCATCTCGATCCGGCCACCGCAACCTATCTTCTTGCGTAGATTAGCAATAAAAACACCACAATACTAGCATTTTCTTGATCTTGATCACTACACTCTTTATTAGGTGTTCCTATAATCATGACTCGATAAGAAGAGCTGTTAATCAGCATGGAGGCCCAAGCTTTTTATGCGGAAGACCAGATAGTAAGGCAGGCCAAATACAACAACACGGTTCGGCTCACGTCGACTCTGAGAAAGCCTGAAATCAGTATAGTTATCTATATATAAAAACGTACACTGTATTATAAAAAAGCAAATCACACCATAGAGATTGTTTTCTAGACCCAAAGATTATTGTGAGAGGGAAACAGAAAATGAGTACAAAGTCATCGTGGATAACTTGGACCAGATGTGTTCATGATGACAGTGTGTGAAGAGATGAAGTTGAACGACGAGGGGGTTACGGTTAATCCGGGATGAATTGCCGTCTTCCACCATCTTGAGTAATCCTGCTAGAATTACCAGCAAAACACTGATCGGATGGTGGTTCCCGGGGGCAAGTTCTGCTGAATACCAGCGCGCTGGTACTTGTCTCCGGAACATCCATCATGACTAGAAATGTATTGGCCACATGCTTCATTTTGCGTGAGGGGAAGGAGAAAACTCACGAGTAAAAGTCGCAAACATGACCTCCCGTGTTAAAAGACTGGACCTCACATTCCGGGACCTTGTCTATATTTGATTCATTGTCAGTGTCTCCATCGGTGGTCTGAGCGTACTCGGCCAAGATTAAGTAGTCTTACAGCAACTGTCAATAGGCACAAATTGGTCGTCGCAGTCCTGGAGGTTAGGCTGCTTGCATAGTGTGAGCTGGACGGTAACTCCGCCAGCCACGGAAGAGGCAGCAAGAGAAACGATGGCAAGAATGGACGCGGAAAACTTCATTTTGAAGAGCTTCAAAGATGATGTGTCAATGATTTCGAAGGGCTGTTAAAGATGGAGAGATGTTATAGTCTTGAAAATTGTTGCACTGTAATGAGATGAATCATGAGAGTCGTTTGTATGTAGACGAGACCTTATTTATACCCGAGCATCCCTCTCATTTTTTCTTTTTGTACGGGATTGAGGAAAAGTCTTGCCCTGGACACTATTCTCCCCCCGAGCGTTCACCGTCTCATTACGAAATGTTGCATTTGCTCTCGCCACTGCGCATTTAAACCATGTACAATCGCCGACAAGTCCGCGACCTGGCATCAAGACTCCGCCGCAAGGATCGCCCGAGTTCCGGCTTGGTGTTTCTTTTGCTCATACCCAACCCGCCACTTTGTGGAGGGCCGCCTATTCAGCCGGCCTCATCGTGCATAACCGATATGCACCCTCCGCATTTAGCGTCTCGTTTCCGCATTCTTAACTGAGACATTGGCATCGTCGAACCATCTCGCCCTTCTTCGCTTAAGAAACGATGCATATGATGAACTGATCAGGGAGACGAATTTGATTACCATGAGACAGCCTATGCGGATTGTTCTGCGCAATGGTCCTTGGGCTGGAGTCTATAAATAGCCTCGTCCAAAACGTCCAGAGACCAACGTGTCGAAACTGGACAAACCTGAGCGATTCTTGCCTTTTGCAAAAGACGGCAGCGTTGCAAATGTCCACCCTTCAGCTAGGATGGCTGACACGAAATGTGGAACGGCGTAGCAACTCGTTAAGCGAAGTCCATTTGTTCCTGGGCCAGGATATTAGTTTGGCCAATCTTTTCCGTTTCTGATTCCAGGGACGACTTTGAAACCCCGATTGGCTGACACTGTCAGCATCGATGCGGAAATATAACGCAGGCAATACAACATATCAGATTGGTATTGACCTTGGACCCGGCGCATCTCCATTGGCATGGTAAGTTGCTGCGTCTTGAGAGGGTTGGGGGATGTTTCATGACGTGGACGAGCCGAAGCAAGGCACACCAGTAATGATACTAACCAACCTGAGACCAAAATAGGTCATATAAAATGGATGCCAAAATCATGGTGTTTAGTACTTTACCCTTCCTCCTCCATCCTTGACCTGAGGAACGGAACTTTGAGTTTAGCATGCCAAATCTGACGACATCTCATTGTATCTTTCTGGCTTCTGGGGTACGACAGGACAAGTCTAAAGTTATATATGCATGGCGTGAGTCTTTCCATTAAATCGGCCTCTTGTCGTTGAGCGTCTTGAATTTGGTTGTTGGAGCAGTTTGTACGAACTACATACATTGACTACAATGCACCTTTCTCAAACACGAGCAAGAAGGGCCACCCGCGGGCGCAGCAAATACTGTCAAGGCCCCGGGCTCAAGCAGTTGTTGTCGAAACTGGTGGCATGGGTAAACAATAACAGTAATACGAGTATAGACATGTACAGTCCCGTGGTATTATCACCCCCGCTCCGGCGATGACTGAGTGAACGTATTTTACATAAGAGACTGGTGTGTCCAACTATTTTATACCCACTGCTGATATCCCAACGCGGTCTCAGGGTGACTCCACGTAGTTGAACGACGGGTTGGTACGGCGAAGCTTAGTTGTGCTTCCTCTTGTACAATCGCAGTCATGCTCCAGATGTCCTTTTATTGGTGCTGCCCCTGCTCGATGCTTCGGCGATGCCACGTTCTACTAGGCATGAACTGGAGATGCCAACTTGTTCATCGATTCTTTAACTGCTTATTGGTTACGGCCCGGAGTTATGTGATTCTGCGGCAAAATTGGCCAGTTTCTTCCATGTAGTCCAACATCCTCCTGACCCTGCCCCCGAGTCGTCTCTATTCCGGCCCGCTGCCGATGCAGACAGTGGCACAGAAGTTGGCATTGTTTTGACGACTATTTCGTCATCGTCACTATAATTATCGGGGTACTGAGGCCGAACCGACGGACAAAGATGATGCAGGGAACTGCAGACGCGATACCCTAACCCTAAGCGCATCCGCGCTCAAGTGCTGGGTATTGTCCCATTGGGCGAATGTGGTCTCAGGGACACAGCCACTGCAATTCGGTGGCATCAAATATTCAATGTTGGAGTCTGGTTGACCTGACATCCCCATTCACGGTTGCTGCTCTGAGTCATACCGCGACACCCAAGAGAACCGAGTATCCGTCACAGCCGCCTGGCCGTGGTGAACACTCGATGAGAACCATTTCCAACAGCAACATCCGACCGAGAAAGTCGATGGAATATTCAGTGCAACTCATTCAACCAGATGAGGCTGGAGTCGACTTGTTCCTGACCCGCTACAAGCCATTCCGCCTTGCGGCTTTACAAAACGAACCGTCCTGTAAGCAACCGCGCCATGCTCACCTCCCGAGCACGTCTACGTTTCATGGATAATTTCCAAACCAACAGCCATCTGACTGGTGATGTGTGCGCAAACAGTCTTTGCATCAACCTACACCCGCGAAGTGTCCATGGCGGATGATTTTTGGCGTGGCCGGTTATTGAACCCGAATGCCAAAACGTTTGTAGCGATACAGAAGCACGACGGCGACATTTTGTCTTCTGTCACGATTGTCCGCGACGTGTCTGTACCAAAGGGGGTCAAAACTCAACTTGGTCTCGAGGCAGACCACGAGGCTACGCAGCAGGTGTCGCATTGGGAGGTCAACGCAGTGTACACTGCTCCGGGAGCTCGACGAAGGGGCCTGGGAAGAAGAGTCATGGAGGCGGCGGCCAAAGAGGCACAGGAAGTTGCGGATTCCGAAGGCAAACCGTGTCTCATCACAGTGCTCGTCAAGAGGAAGAATGCCGCTGCTAGAATCTTGTACGAGAGGGCTGGGTTTCAAGTCCTGGGTGACGATGACGGAGATGATGCGCTGCGGCTGTTTCTTTGGACGGCTCGCTGACGTAGGCAATTGATGTTTTGTGGACAAATATATAGATTCTAAAAACGAGGTAATGAATTATTTACAATAGCCATCACAGATCGGTTGTATTTTTTAGCATCAAGGCCGCATCCCAAGTGAAGACATAATCCGCGCGGCATCACAACCCCCATCTTCTGGCTGCTACAAGTTCAGCAAGGACATCTACCTACAATAAAAATAGACGAGAATCGTATGTTCTGTTCCTATATACCAGTATATACGCAACTATTTACCATCATTGATTTCCCCACCAGACATGTACAAGCCAGTATCACTGCTCTACAAACTGCCGGTCATGCACCTTATACAGGGTAGACGTATCCAGCAACTCCCCCGTCGCCGATCTATAAAAGTCAATCTTCATGTGCTGCGCATCCAAAAAGCTTATCGTAGCATAGCTAAAGTCGTCAGCGTACGCAAAAGCAGTATACGCCGGCCTCGTCCCGACGGCACTCAAACCCTCGATATTCCCCGCACCCCCCGCGACAATATACACCGGCGCCTTGGGATTATCCAAGCCCGCGGGATCCGCCGTCCCGTTGACCACGGGCCAAAAGCGCTGCGAGTTGTGCACATGCCCAAAGACGCCAAGGTCCACGCCGTACCTGTACAAGAGCGCCTCGAAAGCGTCGCGGCAGGGCTCGCACGCCTCGCCGCCCGTCGTGTACCAGGGCCGGTGGCCGGCCACGACGACCCAGGGCGTGACGGCGCGGTCGACCGAGGCGAGGTCGGCCTCGAGGAACTGCAGCTGCTGGTCGGGGCGGCCGAAGGGTCCGCTGTTGAGGCCGGCGGAGCCGTCGGGGCCGTCGGGCGCGCCGGCAAAGTCGGTCTCGGTGTCGATCATGACGACGTGCGCCATGCCGTACTCGAAGGAGAACCAGAATGGGGGCTTGGCCAGTTGTTTGGCCTTGTTGGCATTCACCTTGGCCGCGGCGTCGTGCGACGTGGACGCGAACGAGGTGGGCATGCTGCTGCCGAACCGGGTCATGAAGTCGGTAAAGTTCTTCTGGCCGCTGGGGCAGAGGCCCGTGAGGTGAGGAACCTCCTCGCAGGCGGCCTCGTGGTTGCCCGGGCTGGCCATGTAGGGCTTGCGCGAGGAGATGGGGGCGAGCTGGTCGTAGAACTGCTCCAGGATGGCTTGGAAGGCGTTCTTGCTGTCAAAGGCGTTGTGGCCGCGGAGGATCCAGTCGTCGGCGTAGCCAAGGTCGCCGGGGTGGATGACGAGTTCGTACTCGTCGATTGTGTCGGCGAGGCGCTTGATAGTGGTGTGGTTGAGCGAGGGCGGGATATTGGGGATCTCGTCTCGCTTTGTCTGGTCCATCTGGATGGTGTAGCCGTCCTCGCCGTAGACGCCGAGGTCGATGATGGCATTGATTGAGAATGGCGTCTTGTCGCCGGCCAGGCGCGGACTGAGGAAGGATGCCGTGGTCGAGTTGGTCGAGACAATTTGGTAGCAGTATTTGGTGGCCGGGCTTAAACCCGAGATGGTGACTGTGTTGAACCAAGTGCGGGAGGATGGATATGTCGAAGCAGACGTGGTAGAACAGACTTGCTCCGTCAAGGAGCAGTCAGATGCGCCGTACTTGACACATGCCTTGTCCAGCTGCTTGTATGTATTCCAACTCACGGTGATGCCTAGAACAATGACGATGCCGGATTAGCCTCTGTCTTTTACCGATCCCCCCTCCATGGTGAGCGTTGAACTCACTGTTGGGTCCGTTGACGGCAATGCGCTGTTGAACTGGGGTTGTCAAATCAGATGGAATCGGAGGCAGATTCGCGCTGGCGGCAATGCCGACGGCGAGAATCACAACGCCCCGGGCGCAAGCAAATAAAGTGACCATCCTGTGGCTGTAGTTGCTTACGGATGTCGGCCGGCGCAATGGACTCAACAGTAAGCTTCGCCGAGTCCTTGAGAAACAATTTGATGTCTCTCCGGGCCGTTTGTGTCTGGCATCTACATATATATACATTGCGCTAGACCCTCCCGACTTGGCTATCGAAACTTCCCCGACATGCTCGGCCTGCTCGCCAGAAGACAGAGTTGTCAGCTACCCAATTGTGATACCTAGCGTATTCTCTCGTGGCGTGTCCATGAACCCTGATTGGCGAGATCTGCATGTTCGGCTGTCATAGACCGTCTGGCAAGTCGCAAGGCCCCCCCGGCCTCGGTTCGCACTCAGAAATGGCTACTGCCCGCTTTTCTCGGTCACCAGTTCAAGTTAGGTCCGGGAGAATCATCTCATGTATGAAAAGGGCAGGAGAGATTCTGGAAGAGTCGGCATGAGGACGAGCTTGCACACGAGCGCGCACGATGCTCCCCGGCTCCCGTTCCTTGACAAAGTGGAACCGGGCAGATGCTAGTTCCCGATGGAGTTGGAAGAGAAGCAACATTGAACTAATCAACTGATGGCTTGGGACGCTATGCCGCTGGGGTAAGGTACGGATATAAGTTGTGTTGTACTGCGTCGTAGTATCGACAGGGAACCACGCTCTTGTTGCATGGACCAACCGCAGCGGCGATATTAAACATGGCCTCTCGCCGTTTGGACAAATCCTGCCTTTGGCGAGCCATTCAATCGCCGCTGCCTACACAAGCCGTGGAACCTAAACTTCAAGCGTGGCCAGATTAGATCCACAGGACCCCGTCGTCGACGACAAGGTACGGGTATTTACAGGAACCGGGAGTATCTCATGTCCGTGCTCGGTAAGCGGATCAAGGATCGATTCGACAAATAGTAGATCTGTCTGTGTAATTTGCCGGGGTGTTGCGCTGAAAAGCTTGGAGACTTGTGGCATGTGATTGTACGCACAATACGAACTCCAAAATTGCTCTCCAAAAAAATATGTGGCTGTACATTGAGTAAAAGCTGAAGACCTCATGGTGAAATACAGAATCCTGGTAACGTGTCGACCAATTCCCTGGTCACATTTGTAGCAAAGGCACGGTTCAAAGATTCTCCCAGAGCAATGGACCGTCTTCATGCACCACGTCTCCGAGCATCCTCACTGCCCGTTTAAGCGGATACAAGAACAGTGCCACGGTAGCAGTAAAGATGGAGCTGCGGCCCTCTCAATGCCGCAGGCCCGGCATTTCATCTGCTGTTCGTCGCACACTTGTTGGCCTTCAAGTCGGACGGTTTTGGCTTCGCAAAAGGGTCGCCGTGCCAAGTTCGTGTAGTTCATCCAACTTCATCCGTCATTTCTGTCACCGCCAGCGACACGGTTACGTGGCATGCTACACCGTCTTTGATTAGAAGCTAGCCATCGCACACATCTTCCCAATTCGGAAGGTCTGTGAGTGTAATTGACAGGGACGTCTAACCCGGCGCATGCCGCTCTATGCCATCTTTCGACAAAGGTCGGGGCGAATCGTGCGGCTAGAGTTCCGACACACGGTCGAATAGCCACATACAGTGCCTGGCAAGGAAAATAAACTCAAACGTGCTACTTGTATTTACTAAGAACACTGTGATCTGGCGTATAGATAGAGAATGTGCGCGAAATATGCGCGAGATTCTTGCGCCGAGAAGGGTATGCACTTTGCGTATAAGTGCGACGAAATTAATGAACCACTTTTCCAGAAACTGGTTCGAGTATAGATTGGGAGCAGCACTGGCTCTCTCCCAGACTGCATGCAGAAACAAGTTAGTTTCGGGAGCGCACGTGGTGATGCTAGCAACTGTCCCGCGGGAAGCATCTGTATTTCTCACATTTGTATTGTAGCCTTGTGCCGAACATGGCGGTACCGAATATCTCTTCATTTGGAATACATCTACCATGTATACTATCCCCAATAAGAAAAATAATTCGGGACAGAACATTCCACCTCAAGTGGAAACTCCCAGTAATTCCCATCAAGTTGGTTTGCCAGCACTCGATGCCCTTGTTACCGAAACCTCTGCCACCCAGCCGTGTTTTCTTCAAGTGGCCTTTGCCTCCCTCATTTAGCAGTCACGCTGCTTTCCTAACGATCAAAAGATGAAAGAGCAAGCCTCTCAACGGCAGAGCATCTCCCCTTGCACCATTTTGATCTTCCGACCGACGTGAGCATTCCAGGTATCGTGCTGATCAGCCATCAAGGCACCGCCGCCGGCCTGTACAAAAAAGGAAATAACATCTGCAGCCACAAAGCCCTTCGCAGCCAGCGGGCTACAACCATGCATGTAAATGCATTTGTCCCAGAGAAATATGGTAGAAGAAATATTAGGAATTCATCAAGAAATCTCAAACAAGGGTGCCAGCAAGAATAAAGGAGTCGACAGCGTCATATGTCAAGTTTTGTTGCTCGTCGGCACCGTCGGTCCGCAGAATGAGGCGGATACATGCCCGCGGCGCGCCCACGACAGTAACCCAGCAAAAGGGCTGAGAGAAATTAGAACAAACTCCATAAATTGGAAGAGAATTTTGTAATTTTAAACGGCTACGCACCTTTTTGCAACGATGGCCTGTGCAAGGTGCGCAGCGGTCGCCAAACCACATGTGATTGCGAACGCGACATTGTCTTCCCATGACGGGGGAAAGCCGTAATCGGCATTCCATGCATCTGGGGGATATGACCATTCGTATCAGGTACAACAGTTGTACAGGTTGCGGTCGCGGTCGAAATTGCCGTTGCTCCCATTGGGAGAGTCGGCGTTGGAACGAGTGCCACCGTCTTTTCGGCCTTGATAAGTTGACAGGAAGCTAATGAAGGAGAATGATGGAAGAAATAGCCACCATGGGTCGAACTTGTCCGATGACTTGATAAACGATTTGCTGTCCTCTCTCGGCTCGACAGCAGAGGCGCCTCGTCGCCCTTTTGTACCCATGACTGTCCAGCAGCTGTCACTGCCTCATTGAGGAACGTGGCAAGGCTAACGTCACATTCTCCCCTTGTTGAGAGGTTGTTGTCATGGCGTCGCTATGCATGGAAGCAGATGCTTGTCTGGGTGGGAATGCATCGATTGAGTCGCCACTACTACTCTCTGACATGAGAGACGTCGTTCTGTGTCTTGTCCGATTGTTTACCTACTATCACAACTCGAGATGATGGGACAGACGGGTTTCAGTGACGGTCCGATGTTCTTGCGCTTGAGTCGTCTGAATTTTACGCAATTGATCCGCGTCTATCTTGAGTTGGGCTATCAACCCAAAGCAGTACCAAGGAATCAGAGCAGCGTGTATACTATCGTACATTCTATATAATACAACATCAGAGCGTCTTCATGTGCGACTAAATTAGGACGAGTCCCCGAAGCCAATTCCTCCCTCGTCACGTTAAACCGCAATGTCCTCTTCCTTTTGTCCCAAATACAACTTACAGCCCTCATAACAGCCCAAATATAAGCCAGCGCCAAACATACCCGCAACAAACGTCAAGGACAATCCTCTAAATAGGCCTCTCACACCCTCAACTCGTAAAACGTCTCTTGCGACAGCCATTGGACCCGGTCTGGTTGCGCGCCCCTCGCAAGTCGGGGCAGCCGGCTCGTCGCCGCCGGCAGCCAATCTCATTCTCGTCTTGACAACGTCCACCGGAACAAATATACACGACGCGCAACCGGCGGCAACAGCGGCGCTCACGGCGCTGACTTTCATCTGATGCGGAATACTTCGCGCCAGCTCCTCGTCATCCCGGGCCATCTTCCGCTTCAGCCATTCGTACAGGCTAAATGTCAAGCTTGTCCCGGGCAACGAACTCGCCACCAACATGGTGTACCCCGTCCACAGACGCGTCGGGTGCCTCGTGAATTGGCGCAGCGTCTTCAAAACATGCGACCGCTGACCGGGCAGCAGACGCTCCGTCGTGGAGACTTGGGCGTTTTGCTTGAGCACCTCTGCGGGATTGATGATGGCGCACGCCGTGAGATCGGCGGCGGCACCGCTCATGGCGTGCGCAATCGGGAGAGGAATCGATCCCAGGTGGCCTCTGTCAAACAGCGTCTTGGAGGCCTCGTAGACGAAGAAGAAGGCTGCCGAGGCCGGTATCCCAGCTAGCAGAGTAGGCCCGAAGCCTTGGTAGAGCCCGAGAAAGAGGTTGCGGTGGAACAGGCCGTTGCGCTGCCGGTACTGTGTCTTATAGGCCGGCGACTGGACTCTTGTGATGATGGTGTCCATGGGATGAACCATGACGTCAACGGCGACTGTGGCAACGGCAGCGGCCTACTGTTGATTAGCTTTTTCTCTTCATGTTATAGACGCGGTGTACTTGCGGCGAGGACATGGCCGCCGTCGATGAATGCCATGGTTGCGAATACTGGTATTCCACGGATGGTGGTTGGGTGAATGGTAGTCAGCCGAGGACACTCGCTGCATCGTCAAGACGCGTCGGGTGCTCCGTGGTTTCACAGCATGACATATGCAATAGGTGGTGGGAGTCAAGGTCCAGAGGTCAGTCAATAAAAACTGGACATGATGGTGCTGGTTGAGGCGAAGCATTCACCAAGGCAATCTTCCCGGAACTTGGCCCGATCCGCGGACCCCGCAACCTCCGGTGCCGTATATATAAGGAATCAGGAAACCATCATGCACCGCCGCTTGTCATGACAATACGAAACCGCAGAAAATAGTAAACAATTTTCACGCTTTACGCGTATTCAAGTACTCGACTTGTATTTCTGTCACACAGCAGTGAACCTCAGGTACAGCTTGTCCCCCGCCGGTCGGGAGGAATACCCATCCGTCTGCTCCATACCGGCATCGTCCACAACGGCTGTCGTGAAATTGGTGTAAATTGCCGCCACGATATTTTTAATACCTGCAACAAAATAGTTAGCAATCTCAAACTTTCCACCAGCGCCCCGATATACGTACCCGTCAATGCGAAATTCGAGCCAATACACATACGTCCGCCGCTGCCAAACGCCCAAAATTGCCGATTCATCTGCCTCCCGTTCTCGCCGTCCCCCTCCCGCCCAAGCCACCGCGCATGGTCCCATCTCCGCGCATCAGGATACACCCTCTCGTCCAGATGAAGCGTGTGCGCGAGAGACGCAATCCGAACACCGCCCGGGATATCGTAGCCCCCAATCCGACACCCCGGATACGGGGTAGACCGCGGCTGTGGTCCCGGAATGGGCGCGTGCAATCGAAGCGTCTCCATGACAATCGCGTGCAAGACAGGCAGGGCGTCCAGCTGCTTCGGGTCTGCCAACGCACCGCCGTCATTGGCAGGGGGTTCCATGTCCAAGGAGAGGAGCTCTGTTCGAAGCTGTTCCTGGACGTCGGGCGCCCGAGACAGTCGCCAGGCGATGTAAGTTAGCACAATGCCGGCCGTCTCATGGCCGGCCAGCAGGTGATCCAAGATCTCGCTGGCCACTGCCAAGCTCCTCTGCTGGATGGAAGTGGTGTAAAGCAACGAGCCTTGCCCCTCGGTGTTTTCTTCCTTGTCAATGCCTGCGTGCATCGCCTTGAAGACGACCGCTTCATCGGCAGGTAGGCATCGTCCCTTGACGTCATTGTTCATCGATTGCTCGGCCCTGTCACACATGGTTTTGTTCCACGCCCGTATTTCTTGATTGGCATCATCGACAAATGATGGGTACAGTCGCACACCTAGCTTTCTAAATAGCCTTGTCAGGCTGGGAAGTTCTTGAGGCCAGAAGTGATGATGGTGCCGGGAGAGATATAGTTGCAGCCAGTGGTCTCGATACGACGAGTCCTCGATGAAATTGGTACCATTTCCCAATCCGAAAATATACGACGAGATGAGATCCATTGTCGTCGCCATGAAGATGGACTGTACTTCTGTGCCGTTGGCGCCGGGTGTTGCGGCCTCTCGTCTCAGCAGCGGGACGAGCCTGCCCAGCAAAATAGCTCTGCTCTGGGCTCGAGCCGGTGCTGACGCGTGGATATAAGACTTGGAGTAGACATTGGAAATCATCCGTTTCCTGCGCGAGTGTTCCCTGGACCCCAGAGTAGAGAACATGTGCGGGACGCTGCGTCGTGTTAATACATGGCACTCGCATGGCTAGGTCGCCGACGCACCCGTAGTTATCAAAGACTCTGTACCAGTCGGACTTTTCGTAGCCTCCTTGATATATCGCCCGCATGGCATCGACCCCGTCCACGCTCAACGTGTTGGGCGCCACTCGAACGATGGGCCCATGCCGCAGGTGAGCTTTGAAGAGGGTTTGATTTTCTCTCGCTTGCTTCCTGGCACGAAGTATCCAGTAGTTGGACAAGGAGCAGGACCAGTGGGCGGTAGGGATTCTTGCCAGCGGGCTGAAGAGGGCTGGCTGCAACACAGTCGTGTAAAGTACGAAGAGGAACGTGGCAGCAGCCAACAATATGAGCGTCTCGGTCTGCATGCTTCAAGAATAATAGTACCAGGCGGTTCCTTTTCAGACCCACGCTGTGTGTCTAATCTCGGCAATAACGGATGGTTACTACAGGATATTTAACTTTGTCGAGTTCGGGGTCTGGTGTAGGATATCACCCATTTATCGCCGATGGCCGACCCCGCAAGCCATGTTTCAATCGTGAGAGTCAAAGCCAAGTCTTGCGGTTTCGCTCCGGTATTCGGGTCCGTGCCTTGGGTTGGCCGGGTTGGCCGGGTTGGGCCTCGTTGCATTCCTCGAGTTGACAGTCGCGGTAAAAGGTTCAACGCTACTAAATAAAGTAGAATATGAGAACTCTATTGCACCAGGAGTTGATTTGATAGACCTAGTTTTGAGGATTAGTACCGGAATACTCCGCATCTAATAACAACGGTGCTATGTTCTCCAGTTATTCTATGTGCCAAACGACATTCTATCGGTCAACTTCGGCGACAACGCATCCCACAACCCCCACAGGGGCCCAACCCGTCAGATGATCTACAATATGGGGTTACGTGGCGCCGCCAAGTTGCATTGGTCCAGCTCTCGCCGGGCTAACGAGCTGAATTTACATCCTAACCACCCCGTTTGGCAGTGAGCGTCGAGGATCCAATGTCAACTCGGCCTGTCAATAAAGGCAAAGGCCATTTCAGATATAGCTCCAGACTTTCTGTATTGCTCGCATCGTATTAGCGGTTGAAGCCGGAGCAGAGTATCGATGAACGCGGGGAAATCGTACCAACGCCGTTCCGTGACATAGGCTAGTACAATACTGCCGTGACACAGTGCCTGGTTGAGAAAGAACACGATTCGTCTTCGAAAAGAGATAGATTTATTAATGAAATTTCCATTCCGATTCTTTCTTTATTCTATTGCAAGTGAAGGCGAAACGAGTCTCTTCGGAGCCGGCTTTAGAGAGGGTTTCAAAGTCGGGAGTTTTGGAGAGAAAGACTCGAAAAGGAGGTTAGCCACCCAATCGGTCAATTCGCATATTCGTGTTACGGTTACCTTGAGGCTGGAACGCCACTTTGAGTGAGAAAACAAGGGCTTTGTGTGGCCCTCATTACATTGTGTAACAGGCGGCGCTTTGCAAATGCACCTGTGTACAACTCTTGAACTGCGACTACTTCGACCTGAGCTCCCATATTCATATCCCGCGTGTTCCTTTGAAACCCATCAACTGGCTGCTACCAGTTGGTCTTCTTTTCCGCGGCCCTTCATCTTTTCTTTCAGCCAGAACGGCAGTTAGCACGGCCCATTTGCCGCTTCAGTACGACTCGTTTCTTGCACTTGTCGATTTGGACGAGCGAAGTAGGCAACGACTCAATAAAGTCTACCGCACAATCCGCAGCAGAAATGTGCTGGCCACCCAGGCGTCGGCAATAGTTTAAATACCCCTCCGCTTCAGCTCTAGCCTTTTCAACATGAGTATTCATCACCTTGAGCAAAAGATGGGGGTTTGGTGGGTTTTCATCGTGTGCGTTCCCACCACTCTATTTGTTTGCATGCTTCATCTGTGGGATTGAAACTTTTTATTGGAAGGGGCAGGGAGGATTCGTCTCACATTGTGTGATTATGCCATGAATCAGAAAATAAATTGCCGACTTAAACTGCCATGTCAAAATATGGTCCGATTTTCATTTCGCCGACGATGTAGGTTAGCTGTGCTTCGGGTAGGACTACACAGGGACTTGCAGTTGAAATGCAGCCTGCTATTGGCTAGATTCTCTCACTTCTCTCTTAAATGTGGTCAAGTTAAGTCGTTACTTACCTAGGTAGGTATTTAGGATGATTATGTGTCGTTACTGTGAATCTCTAGAAATAAACGTCCTAGGTTTAGACAACGCAACTTCATGTTTACTCAGATCTCCATTTCAAATTCTAATCCATAGCTGTCCAAGTAAAGCTGAATTACACTCTATGGTCTTTGAAGATAGCACAGCCAGGGTGGAGGCTGGGATCAGGGTCGTCTGGGTACCGCATCCGGGTGATGATGAACCCTTTCCTCGTATATTGCTATCTTACAGGAAGATGCAGTTTACTATCAGGGTTCAGCAGCTTGTTTCTCGCTAGAGATCCACGGTCCTTCGGCCCTTTCTAGTTTCGTCTTCTTCACTCACCCGTCAAGTTCAACATGCAGGGCTGATACGCCCGTTCTTTTCCTTGTCTCAAGTGCTATTATTAGAAATGTAAAAGTTATCGATTACGTCCACGTCATCGTAGAGTGTTAATAGAGTTTAGTGACTGGATAAAGCGGCTGCTGTTTAGAGGTCTACATTAAGCGAGTTTTTACTTATGCGGACTGTTCATGCACACTTTATAATCTCTTGAGAATTTGTGGTAGCCGTAATACACGCACAGCCTGTCGTCTTGTTAACGCAGCTTCTAAGAGAAAAAGTAAGAAACCTGGTATTTTTACCAGGATTGGGTAATACCCTTGTAGATTACTTGACAGTTACTCACTCAAAATACCCGAGTATAAGTTGCAAATATGTACAGCACCTTCTATCAGACTATTAAGGTGGAGATAAATGACAGGAACTCGCTCGTGAATTAAGAAGGACAGGCTTTAGTCTTGTCATAACACACACTGAATCGCGAATATAGCAGGGCCCCCATGCACATGCTCTATTTACCTTATCAGGTTACGGGTGGTTAATTATACAGTGGTTAGAGTGTAGATCTTATAAAACACGCAGAGGCTCGTAAGGGACGGGACCGGTACCTTTTTTTCAATATGAAAAAGTTTAATCAATTAATATTACGAAATATATTTATAACTACATATAAGTACTCAACAATAAAGACCACACTCTAGTGGGTCTTAAGGCTTTTAATTGGACGGAGTTGTATATAGTATTATAGACGAATTATTCGTGTGATAAGTGTAATATAGCTCTTATGCCCAACTTGATTATTTGATTGGTTAATACTCTCTGGAATCAACTCTCCAGAAGCCTCCCCATCTTCTACGAGATACGAGGTCTCCCCTTCAAAATCATGCAACCACGCCAGTTAGCCGCAGCGAACCTTGGTGAGATATCCAATCGGTCAGACCAAGCTTCGTGTCGCCGGTCCGAATCCCTTGCCGAAATGTCATTTGCGCTGCTGAATGACAAGTCACGACGGCGTCGGGTACGGCAACCGACGTATCCATGTCGGCACTTTAGGTGCCAAATAGATTGACAGGTGTTGGATAGTTGTGGGGGTCACAAAAGTTGACGTAGTAGCGCAATTGTATTGAATAACGAGTGAGGACTATCTAGAGGCCCAATGAATGATGGAATTAACGCCATATTTATCTTGTGAGCACATGCAGTTTTGTTGAAGTGGCGGAACTGCAAGAAGGGACCATGTCTGATGCAACCCCACGACTAGGAGTCGATGATATCTACAATGCCGCGTCACCGCATTGTGAAAAACCGACCACTTTGTCCGATTTCGAGGTTTCCATATCCGACACATGGATGCTCGGTTTGGGCTGCTTCGCAGGCAGATTAAGCCGAATGGTCTAATCATTAATAAGGGTCTGTTGCTACTTGTGCCTTGCCAACACGAATGTACGGCGGAACCGAATCCACAATCCACATCTGTGCTCTGTGCTGTGGAACGCCATCTTTTCCCTATTGGCAGGCTGAATAATAAAGTCAATCCTTCACAGTGCCCGAGTGGGCGGAATGACCACATGTGCACACGTGCAGTCACCAGTTGACAACTTAATGTCTCCAGAGCAGGTGCTACCAGGCAACACCTCCCCAGCCCAACCGGCCTGGCCACTTTGGAGCAAGTATGCGACGGAGCCGCTGTCAATGACATATGGAGCCTCTATACAGCTTAGCTGCTGCCCTGAGCTACTTCAACGTCTAGCTTCATGCCAAGCTAGGTCGAACCTATACCAGTTCGGATATAGCAGGGTATAAAGACTAGGGTAACTTATAAGAAACAAAATTACGTTTATGCTATAAAGCACAAGTGGGCCTCTACTATTCCGGTCCTTCTTGTCTACGATGACGGGGGTCCAAGGTGACTGGGATTGTGGTGTCAATGCTTCTCGCCTAATTTAAATATCTGCTATATGTACGCCGATGCTGTAGATAAAATAATAGTAGGTCAGGCTGTTGATCCGAGACTAGTTCCACTTTATTACTCATCTAATACTAGCTCTACTTTTAAAAAAATTAATAATTCCATGTTCTAAGGCTAGCCCGGATACTTAACCCTAACCCTAATCGATACCAGCCGCATAGGCTTGTATCAGTTGAGCGCCTGGACCTAATATCATGTCTTCTAGGTCCTCATGTACGCCTCACCCTGTGATAACTTATAAGTATCCAAATTTCTTTGTATATTCCTTTATTCTCACTTGTATCTTTCTATAAAACCATATATCAAAGCTTAAATTTAAGTCAGAGACTCTGTACTCAAGCTATTGCCACAATGAAGCCGCGTCGGGCCCTGACTGGGCTTCTTTTCTCGACTTGCCTGGCGGCAAGACTTCCTACCATACCGAGCCCTGATAATAACCAAGTTGCTTCTATTGAAGTCGACGTCAAAGGCTCTAGAAATACTTCAGCCGCACAACAGAATGCCCCTGGCAACTTGGTCCGCCTCTCACACTACCAGACAGAAAATGTCCAGACCTACGAATATGATAGTTCAGCGGGCCAAGGCATTACTGTTTACGTTCTTGACGGGGGCATTCGACTGACGCACGAAGAGTTCGAAGGGCGTGCTACCTTTGGCGCAGGGTTCGCTTCTCATCAAGGGGTAAATACATGTCCCCCTTTCCAATATATACATAACCTCTACTCTACCAACCACGGTAGCGATTCGCTAACTTGGATATATAGGAAGGGGACAGCAATGGCCACGGGACCCATGTTGCCGCTATTATCGGAGGTGCCAAGTACGGAGTTGCCAAGCAGGTGCAGATCGTTTCTGTTAAACTACAGCCCAGGGAGCCCCAGCTGGAAAAAGCTTTAGACTTTGTTCTCAAGGACGTTCAGCATAGAAATATTACAGGTAAAGCTATTATTAGCATGTCTATGTCTTTTCCCGCATCGGATGATATCGATAAAATGTTCAGGCGCCTTGTAAATTCGGGAATCGTATGCGTCGTTAGTGCTGGCAATAACAATGTACGTTCCTAAAGGTTAAGCATGGCAACCAATATGAAGACAACTAACTAATTTATAAACTCTAGTGGGATGCGAGCAAAAATTCTCCCAGCAGGGACCCTGGCGTTATTACGGTGGCGGCAATGAACCATAGGTCCGATTCTCGTTGGGAGGAGTCAAGCTACGGTCCTGCAGTCGACTTATACGCTCCTGGCGCCGACATCACAAGTGCAAGTCGAGATTCAGATTCCGCCTCGGTAACACTCAGCGGCACCAGTCAAGGTAAGTACTCCCGGGTACATACACTTCGCGTGGATCCAGTTTCCTTTTGGGACTTCCAAGGTTCTGAACTTCTGACCTGATTCCAATAGCTGTTCCACACGTCGCCGGCTTAGCCGCGTACATAATGTCACTCGAGAGCATCACCAAACCCAGCCAAGTTGCCGCCCGACTCAAAGACATCGCAAAGCAGTCCGGGGCTCAGGTTCAGTGGAACGCACCGCATACAACGGGCCTTATTGCGAGCAATGGGCTGGACAAGGGCGGACCGAGCTCTCTCTTCCCCCCCAAGAGAATTCCATGGACTCCTGAACCGAAATATTCGGACGAGTGTGGACCGGAGTATAGTGAGAGGAAGTGTGGCAGTCAAAAATATTGTAATGCTTTAGATGAAGCACCCCGAGCACCGAAAACAGGGTTCTTCAAGAACGCCGAAGAGTGTTTCGACGCCCACGAGCCGGCGCCTAAGCTCCCGTGGATCAAGGCCCCGAGCCTGAAAACCGGACCTGACTCTTGTGGATACAGTTTCACGGGCAATCCAGCGTGGGCAATTTACGATGATGCCAGCTGTGGTACCCAAGTATACTGTGAAGCGTTTGACAAGATAAAGCCGAGACCCGACTTTTTATTCGGGTTCAAGAATACCAAGGCCTGTTTGGAGGCTCACGATCCTCCGCCTTCCGGGTAAATATCAGAATCTGCCAGATATCTCATGTAGTCTAAAGACCTTCAAATGAATCAGCGACTATAATTAGAATACCAAAGACCATGTGAAAGAGAGTTATTTTGCGTGGCAATTGCTACGGAGGCCGTGTGTCCGGTGTTCCAGTAAGGATGGAAATAGCTCGAATGAAGGTTCCTTTAAACACTCTTGCTCTGCTGGTGAACCATTGCTTTATTCAAGTCGCACTACTCCTCGCTCGTGGTCCTAGTCCGTTACAGATCCAAATTCGGCAGTCGACGCATTCTGTGACTGTAATCTCGGCGGGTGAAACTTCGTCACTGAGAAGAAAGATTCGCATGTAATCTGTGACAAGGGCTCAGAAAGAGGGCTTGGAGCAATAACTCAATTCATCTAATAACAGTCTTTGGTATCAAAGGTCCTTGGTTTTCCTTAAGGCCTCAAGGGACCGAAGACGTTTAATTATATAAGAAGTCGGTGAGGGACTTTGCCCTAGGTCTCGTGACCGTAGCCCTTGTGTAACCAGCCATTTCCGTGTAACATAATCAGACTTACACTTCACTCAAGACTCTTGAACTTATTCATGCTATGGTTTTGTCCCGAGAGTTATCATGAGATTCGAGGAAACCGTAGTCTCATTTATTCATTCTGGGAGAGGTGTTATGGATATCGGCTAGTCCATGCCACCCAAGCGCCAACAGCAAGACATATTCGACCCCGAGTTGTACTACGGCGCTGGTTAGGGTTAGGGTTGTTCCTCGCAGCTGGTGTTGATATAGGCCTTCATTTACGCTATCGCTAGATTAACCTACCAGACACATGAATTTCCCGAGTGACTCTTTGCCCTGTCAATATCAATGTGTCTACCCAGCCATTCCATATCGTTTTATGCGTACGCAGCCTCCTGCGTATCCAAAGGATATCTGTGGGAACCATTGCATAATCAAATAGGGAGTTAGCGGGTCGTCTCTCCATACTTTTCTTGCAGATAGTCTTAGCCTTGGGAGTTCCATCCTCATTTTTCGGTCGCATTTATTAGTGAAACTTGTGCGATAGACGACATGGAACCTTGCGAGAAATTTCAGCCTGCATTAGCCTCTCCTTTTGATCACTCCGACACAAAGCGATCAAACACCTCGGAAACGGAGATTCGAGTATGCCTAGACGACGAAACTATTTCCAGTGACCTAGTCCAATCCGTATTTTATCAGAATGTCGAAAACGTCACTCGTATATTGGACGAAAGCCCGCACTTGGTCAACAGCAATGTGGTTAACTTTGCAGAAAGTTATCGCAGCTGGAGACTCGGCTGGATAAAGCTTGACGCATGGCCATGCTCTCCAGAGCGTGCAAAGCTACGAAAGGAAACGGAACCACTTCTTTCATTTGCAGTATACGCATATAGTTACAGAAAGGGACATCGTTATACTGACAGCGTACCCGATGAAGCCATCAAAATAGTTGAACTACTTGTCCAACGCGGTGCAACCGTTCGTGATGAGGAAAGAGGCACATTGATTGGCGATGTTTGCTACCGTCAAGACAGTGCCGCTATAATACGACTTTTGTCTTGCGCCGGAGCTGATCCACTCGGCCAATGCCTCACGGCTCAAGAGAAGTTGGTCACAGCTGTTGAGATTGCCGCAAAGGCTGGTGGTCACCAGTCGCTTGCATGGCTTCTGGACTATGCTCTCTCCCACGGCGAAGCGATTGATGATTACATTGAAGCACTGCACACTACAGCACGCAATGCTTATGAAGACTGTCTTCTGGAATTCCTCAAGAGAGGAGCAGTAAAGCTGATTAATCGCAGAGTTCAACCTAGATTCACCGCTTGGGGTGCAGCTTGCTCCCCTTCATCGGATCCAGAAAGAGGGTACACTGCTCTCACACAAGCAGTCTTTTTCACCAACATACGTGGCCACTTCTTGCATACTGATAGATATCAACGGGCATGGTTAATGGACGAGAGTACTGCGAGAAGGGAACGCGTTGCTTGGAAATTGCTTGAGGAAGGAGCACAAACCAACATAAGGGATCCCTACTCCAATAAAACTCTGATATATGGAGCATGTAAATGGGCTAGCAAAGAGCTGGTCTCCCATTTGATTGACATGTCCGCCCATGATCTGGACGAGAAGTTCCACGAGAGCACAGACCGTTGTCGCCCCGGACCGGATAAATGGGGAGGAGACGGTGTTGGATATCTTCACATCGCGGCATTTTATATAAATGCCGAGGTGGTGAAACATCTATTATCCAGGGGGTTGAAGCACCAAACCGACCAATACAAACGAACACCGCTACACTGGCTGGCGTTGTCAGACCAAGAGTACAAATGGGCTTCCCCATCTGAAATATTTTACGGAGGGATTCCGGAGAATCCTGATGTACAGGAAAATCCTGCGCCGGCTTTCGCCGTCAAGGCAGCCACCTATCTGCTTGACAACGGGCTGGAAGACATTAATGCCCAAGATTCTTTTGGTCGGACACCACTGCACTATGCTTGCGCAAATTTGATGTCTGAGCTTCTCTGTTTTCTCATATCTCGCGATGCGGATGTCAATCTTCGAGACCACAAAGGATGCACGCCGCTTCACTTGCTCGTCAACGGAACCAGCGGTAACCACCCAAGAGATTGCGCGTTTCCGGTCGAGAGCACATCCCTGTGTTTCAAGGCATACAAGAAAAACATTGACATTGACGCAAAAGACAATCTTGGGCGCACGCCCCTTCTTAGAGCGTGCGAGGTCCACGCTGTAAACGTCACGAAGCTGCTGCTCGCCATCGGGGCGGATCCGAATACTGGCGACAATAACTCTTGCACGCCGCTCCATTACGCAGTTTCTTTTCCAGAATGGACGCTGTCAGATCATTGGCTGGGGAATTCCCGTCGAGTGATTCCAAGGGCTGAAGAGCTGAAAATGGCTCTTCTTGCTGCCGGAGCAGATGCCACACGGCAAAATAGCCAAGGGCAAACCGTGACCGAAGTTGAGCTAAAGGAAAAAATAAACTACCAGCAAAAGGCGCTTGAATTGAAGAGGATGATGGAACAACCTGTTAAGCCATATATGGGCCGAGGCCGAAGGACTCGCGGGACAGAGCCGCCAGATACAACTACATTGCGACAAAAATGATATTGGATCTGGACTTGAATAGTTGTGGCCAGAACTCAAGCTCAACTCTGAATGAATTGTAGTTCCATTTCACTCCTTTTGTTCGTGTCACGATTCAACTAGACTAAGCAACGGTAAATGGTACACTTCTTCCAGTGCCCTAGATAATTAAACCTTATATACCTCTTAGTAGACATCCTGTATTTTTGCCCAGTGAAAGTTCGCTCATTAAATCTCAAGTATGAATGGGCAGTAAATGGCCCAATCTCTCACATCCAAGGCAACTTCAAGGGGATCGTGTTATACGGAAGTCACGTTGCCATAAAGGCACGGGCTGGACCTAAAACCTGACAATAGTTACATGGGCGCTCGAGACCTAGTCGAGGTATTAGCCCCCAGGCTTGCTAATTATTTAATTTAAATAAGGGTTATTTGCCCGTAAGGCCTTAAGGAAAACCCAGGGCCTTTGATGTTAAAGCGAGTTATTAGCTGAATGCGATATACCCTTATACACAATCTCCTTTTACAGATCGAACATGATGTTAAAGACACATATCTAATAGTTGTAGGGAAGTTTGATATCATGTTGATCGAACAGAGCGATGTGAGTTTTGGGAAGGACTTAAAAACTACTAAGGAACAAGCCTGCATGACGATTCAAAGATATAGTTTGCCTCACCTTATCGCCCTAGCGTTCCACCCGTTGTTGTTACGAAGGAAGCGTGACACAGCGTCGGCAAATATTCCGCTCGTCTACAAACAAACGGAGCTGCCGAGTCTAGGAGCCCAAGTTTGTGTATATTTGAGCATTTTGTTTGGAGCTTCGGCTGAAATGGTCGGAAACGAAGGCAAGGACGCCACACCCAAGACTCCAAGTCACACGACTAAACTCCTACAACGAGCAAAACGCCGTCCATTCACACGCAGTTACACAGCAGAGCTTTCATAGGCAGAATCAGGGGCTGACGATTTTTAATATCCTCTACTAATACAAGCCACTACCTACTGTCAGCATCGGATGTTGGTTCAAACCTATATGTCCTTCACTTCCTCCAATTTATGCTCCGGATAATGCATGTCTGTACCCATTACTTCATAGCACTTGAAGCAGTAACGCGTGCCAATGCATTGATTACACTTGTACAGTTTTTCAAGGATTCGCTGTAAATCCCAGTCTTTGGTAAGCTTAATGGAAGGATTGAGCTGACATGGGTAGGCGCATGCACTTACACAAAAGCAGCTGTCACAGGATGACACTGTAGAACGAGCTGCGGCTTCTGGGATCCCCGTAAACTCTCTCGGTCCTCTTCCTTTGATGGGGTAATTATCCTTTGCATCGCTACGGGGTTTTGTTAGCTCCTGGGCTGCCAGAGACTTGCCGTGGTAAGTTGCCACATGCCACGGCGTCCAGTGACTCTTGGTCCTTGCGAGGCCATCAGCACCCTGTTGTAGCAGGAAAGAAACTAAATTGGACGACATGGAGTGGTTTCGACATGCCCAGTGGATTGGGCACCAACCATCGTTGTCCCGGACGTGGATCAAATCAGGGTGGCTGCCAAGAATCATCTTTATTACGCTCATTGATCCGCTCCCTGCGGCAAAGTGAAGAGCGTTTCTGCCAAACTTGTCGACACTTCGGACATTTGCTTCTCCCTTGGTAAGCAACTTCACCAGGCCCGGGGTGGAGTGAGCAACACCAAGATGCAAAGGCAGGCGACCCTCGATATCTTGCTGGTCCGGGCCCAGGTTCGTCTGTTCAAAGATCAGGTTCACCATGTCAAGGCGGGTAGATTTCGCGACCGCAGCATGAAGAGCTGTGCCGTAGAGGCCACAGACAGTATGCGTTTCCGCGCCTTCCTTGAGAAGGAGCTTGGCGAACTCGATGCTTCCGTCACAGGCTGCCGCCTGAAGTGCTGTACCGTGTTTGCCGCCGACAAGATTGACAATATCCTGGGGTAAGAGAAGCCTGGCGATGTTTAACGCGATTGTATTTGAATCTTTGCCGTGGAAGTTTGATGCTATGGCTGCGGCTTGTAGTGCTGTCCCAAAGGGACCACCGACTATTCTCGGGTTGGCCTGGTTTTCTAGGAGGAGCCGGATGATTTCTGGAGCATGCCTTGTCCCTGAACACGCTGCGGTTTGAAGAGCCGTTCCATACTCCCCTGCGATGATGTCCAAATCCAATATGTATGCGAACTCCAGGAGGAGTTGGACGACATCTAAGCTACCGTGGAAAGCAGCATAATGAAGGATGGTCCCTATGTCACCAATGACCTTGTTCGGGTCTAGATTGCTATCTAAGATGATTCGTATCTTGGCGAGGCTTTTGCCAGACTCTGTCGAAAGACATTGAAGCAGCTCAGACGAGACCAAGTCAGAAATGCGATAATTCAACTCCATGTAGCGATCTAATATCAACTTGGTAACGTTGAGGCTGAATCTCTCGAGTGTGAGATCCAACATGTTGTCATAATCGTTATACTCAGGGGTTCGTGGGATCATTAGACCGGCACCATTCTCCAAAAGTAATCGGACAGCCTCGGGGCAATCTTTGGCAGCCGCAAGGAAGAGCGCGGTCTTACCCGTATTGTCTGTCAGATTCATGTCGGCACCCGCGTATATAAGTAACTCCATCACCCCGAGAGAATTCTTCCGCGCGGCCCGATGCAATGGTGTCTCTCCGTAGGCATTTTTCATGTCAAACCTCGCTCTTCTGCGAAGCAACACTTCAGCAACCCGGGGATAATCGAAGGCTGAGGCCAAGTGAAGAGCACAATTGAGCGCGCCATCTTTGGCATCCTTGTCTGTGCCTGAGTCTAGTAAGAGCACCAAGATGTCCACCCACCCGAATATCGCAGCGACACGAAGAGCCTCTTCGCGATCATACCTAGTGGAACGTGGTAGCAGAGCCTGGACAGTCTCGATGTAGCCACCTTTGCAGGCAAAATAAAGTGCTGTCACGCGTGTAATATGCTCCAGGCCCGCATCTGCGCCTTTATCTAGCAGTCCCTCAACTATGTCGGTGTGACCTCTCCCAGATGCTTCATGAAGCACAGAGGTATGATTTAGGGCCGTGAGATTAACGTCGGCTCCATTTTCAACAAGTTGACGGAAAACCTCGTAATGCCCATACTTTGAAGCAATGTGAAGTGCTGATCTACCCAATTCATCCCTGCTGTCACATGGCACCTTGCACTTGAGCAGTGCGTCGATAATTTTGAGATGATTCCCTCTTGCAGCAAGCAATAGGAGAGGAGGCTCAATGTTAACATCCATGGTGACCCTCGAGCGACATGGAGTATTACTTCCATTCGTGGACGGTCTCGCCATGCTAGTCTCTTCTGGCCCAAGAGAAGTCTCTCCAAAGATGGCGCTGGTAGTTGCAGCCGGCAGAGTAACGGGATCTCCATCAACGCTCTTCGAAGCGCCGTCTTCGGATCTTGCGGCATTGGAGGCATATTCCTCAGGGGGGGCATTCCCTTTGCCTCCGCATAATGTTTGATCATTTTGATCATCGGCAGTATTTTCATCTTGCCCGAGAAAGCAGAGAGCAATATTCTCGTGACCACTATCAATAGCCACGTGTAAGGCTGTCTCTCTTTCGAGGTTTGCCATATTGACATCTGCGCCGTAGCGAATCAATGCTGAAGCAATCTCACAGAACCCACGACGGCTTGCAGCGTGTAGGGCAGTGTCCCCATTGAGATCCGCACTATCAGTGTTCGCTTGAGCACTCAGAAGCCGATTCACAGCATCGACATGTCCATGTCTTGCTGCAAGATACAACGGGGACATGTTAGCGGAGTCGAGGCTATTGATATCCATTCCCGCAGTACATATCATTGCTACGAGGCCTGAGTCTCCATGTCGCGCGGCGACGTGTAGAATAGGTTGATCCTGGCCAGGCTCGGTGAGTTGAAAATTAGGGCTACACCTGTACAAATCGTAGAGTCTCTTGCTCATGGTGGTATGACCCCATTTCACAGCTTCATATAACGGGGTTAGCCCAGACGTATCGACATGTCCAGGCCAGCTATGAGTTTTCTCACCCAAGAGAAACTCCATCAGGCGCTTGTTCCCAAGTTTGGCTGCATGGGAAAGAATGATGTCGAACCTGGCGCGAACAAAGTCCGGTTGAAGCTTACACAGCTCGCACAAGGTATCGTCGGACCCAGTTGCGAACGCCTCCATAAGTGTTGATTCCTTGTTCGGTTCTTTCATTACCTCGTGGACATTCAACATCGTTGAGATATCGCCAGCTTGTACAACAGCCAAGAATACCAACGACCACCCGGTTGTTTGTTCGAAATGTGGCAGCGAGATGGCTCGTATAGCGATATCAACGGCTTGAGCAAGTGGAATTCCAAGCATACCATGAAGGTTTGTCGGTGCACAGACTCGATTTGGTCGAAAGCTGTCATTGGCGACACCTCTATGGCGTAATAATGATGTCGCCCAGTTTTCCCATTGTTTATCAACATCAAGGAAGATTCTGACTTGTTCATCCATTTCGAGCGGGCCTAGTTGGAGATGCTTGTGCCAGTTCTGAGTTGTATACTCGAGAAAGGGTATTTCACCCGTTACACCACCAAAATTACACCAACAAGGGCATTTCTGAGTTTCCATGGCAGACTTGGCCTCAGCTGTGTTGGAAGATGTTTCCTGGCCATGTGGGTGAGCACCGAGATGGTGAGACAAATATGTCAAGCAACGCCGAGCGATGCCAGAATGGGCAGTATGGCCCATTCTGCACCAGGACATTTCAGGATGGGGATGGTCGAGAAACGCCCCGAAATTCTCGTGTGTTAGGTAAATGGTGTTGTTGTCGATTTCTACCACACCACAGAGGATATTCTCAAGCCCTGCCGCAGCGTCAGGCGAAACCCTGCCCGTCTTTCGAGAGTCACCGTCATCATCATCGCAGCCTGGGATGGACAACGCTACCCGTAACTCATCGCATGTTAGCGGCCGCATGGAATGCACAATCCAGGATAATGCATCTTTTACCAATAATCGAGAACTTGGCGGAACCAGCTGCAAAATCGCCGAAAACGCACTGTTGTCTGTCGAAAACTGATGCAACGCCTCCTTCACGGCTGCTTCGGTGAGAATTGGTAGATGTTCAATGTACCGAAGAAAATAGCGGGTGCGCCGGAGATCTATTGTTTCCATAAAGATGTGGTCCAGAATGGTGCTTCTCAATGGAAATGAACCTCGATTTCTTTCGCCCACGAGGTCTAGTTGCCGTTCGAGGTCCTTTCGCAGTTCAGCATGCTCTTCTGCTTGCCCGAGGTTGACTTCAGCATGAGATGTCGTTTTCTCGGGTATTGTGTCAGACACAGCATTTCCTATGATCAGGATTTTGCTCGGAACTTCCTTTAGTTCACTCAGTGCAGCTAGGTCTGCAATAAATGACTCATGGCAATCAAGAGATCTTGGCTGCTGCGACTGATGGATGATGCAGAAGATCTGGTGAGGTGCAGAACAGCATAGGAGGGTCTCGAGACTCTTCCACAAGAGCCACTCAATCCAAACAATATTGGATCTACAAATAGCACTCCTCAGTTCATCCTGGTAATTTGTAATTTCAAGAAACAAGCGCGGGCACCGATGGAGTATTTGTGATACTAGAGAGGCCAGAAGCTTTGCGCGTTTGTAAGTTCCCTTTCCAAGCTGATCATAGGAAGCGGTGATAAAAATATCGGTTTGATTCTTCCTCATATCCTGAATGGACGCAATAATTGAGCTCAGGAATGAGGTCGGGTCCCCTGTTGGATTTACCGTGAGGACCTGTAAGTGTTGGGTCGTTGAATTCACCCAATCTTTAAGCACAGGTTTGGATAGAATCCAGTCGCAGAGATGCCTGTATATTGGCTTGGAATTTGGACGGTTTCTAGTTTCCAAGTCGCCTCGGGAAAGCAATCGCATACCAGTCACATAGTCCTTCCACTTCCCTAATAATCCCATTATATCAGTATGCACGTGGTAGTGTCGCAAAGATAATGGGGAGTCTAACTAGTCAGTGCGTTGATGAGCAAGTCAGTCGTAACCTTACGGAGCTCGGGCACGCAAGCATCGTCCATCATAGTAAAGCTTGCGTCAACACCGATCTGAATCTCGTTGTCTCGATCCAAAGTCGCAGCGAATTTATCGACTATCTGCAAGGAATTAGCCATGCCACATATATCAGCTATGAGGCCCCTAAGAGCAAATGGGTTTGTCTCTTACAGTTTCATAGTTGGCAGATTGAGATTCATTTTGAAAGATATTAACGATCTGAAACTGGCCACCAATAGAGCCGAAATCTTCAGCCAGTTTCTCATGCAAGGTAGAGAGTTGGCGCACAAAGTCGAGGGCCCAAAAGCCAGATTTCCTAGTGAAACACATACGTAGCATCCTAGATAGTGTGTGGCCCCATGGTAGAGCATCTGAAGCTCTGTGTGCGGTACCAAAGAAGAGCTAAACAAGCGCAGAATAAATTCGTTTGGGTTATTAAGATTTCGTACTGTGTTTGAACTCGTGCCATATTGGTGGGATGGGGGCATACCACCAGGGAAGTGTTCTGTAATATGCTTTTGTATTCAAGGTTCCTGGAGGCCATGACAAGAGCCTGCAAGCGAGACGAGGGGTGAAAGATTAGCGAACGCTCTGTATTCATCTTCTTCAAGGAGGCGATGTAATATCTCAATTGATTCTTACTCTTTTTAGCACTGTGCCGCCGATATCGTGTGCTGCGAAAACAAGGGTAGGATGGAGCAGAGACTAAAAAGAGTTTCAATATTTATGGCACCTCAGATCATGCCGCAAAACCCGAAAATATACGGAACTGCTATCCCGAGGAGAGTCGGATTCGAAGTCGGAGTCGGATTTGGAACCGGAGTCGGCGTCATCTGTCATGGCAGATGATATGTCTCTCAGCAGCTGCTGCGCCAGGTTATCAATTTCTGCGGTTGGGTTTTTATAAGCCATATTAGAGATACTAAGTTTTAATTCCTTCATTTCGACTATCGGCGGCGGTTGAGGGTCAGGCACCCAAACAGATTCCTGGCAAAAACCGTGGACATCGAATAACCTGCATTGCTGTTATTGACATCTCTTCAGATAGCTTATGTCGATGGTACATACAGTAGCCTGGAGTGTAGATTGCGCTTCATTTTGCTTTTATACACCCATGATGATTCATTATTTATAACAGAGTTCGCTTCACGCCAATAATCCATTGTTGAACGAGTCTCCTTTTCCAGGTGAGTGTTATCGATATTGTCTTCGAGTCGATCAGGTTAGGCCGAATGGGACGCCCTGGTTTTCCAATACTCTTAGACAAAGATTCAAACGATAAGTAATAAAATACGGAAGAAAATGGTGTCTTTAGTCGTACGAATAGTCCGAGGGGAAAGTTGAAAATCGTGGGCAAGGTCTTGACTCTTGGGCATTAGAACCTGTCTGGTGTTTCTGTGTTGGGGTCAAGACCGTCACGTGCACAGCACAACAAAGACGTCCATAGTTGGCAGGCACTGCCCATAGCTTGCGTTTCTTCTTTCTAAGGAAGGGAGGGGTCTGGTCCAAGCTTAGGGGACGTGTCATTTATGAAACAGAAGGCCGGGTACGATGGCACGGGTGGCATCCTCACGTACTTCGTACTGACTGTGCTGCAGAGGCCATACAACTGTCTGTATAATCAGGGCAGAGAAGCGTTCCCTGGAGAGGACGGCGAGATGACGTGAAGGGCACTGGAAGCGGAAATTTCAAGGCTAACTTGACTCTGTGGTGTTGTGAGGCTGCTAAACCTGGTTTCAGGATTACAATGGGAGATGCTATCAAGATCGTACACACCAGTTGGACACTTGTTCTAGACCCGACGATGTGGTCCGCCGCTTCTCTGGACAGCTCTGGACATGAAGCGATTGAATGAGGAATTTGACACATCAGAAACGCACGGCAACCCACAGCAGATTCCCGCGGGAAACGTTGGAGGGTTATCCAAATCCCAAAGCGAATATGGTGAACCCAAAGCAGTCCCTTATTTACTGACAAAGGCTCACCAATTTTAGCATCCTAGCCCTGCCCCTTTCCCGATGCAGCATTGACATTTTCCTGCCTGGCACGTCATTTGCCCATTGATTTGAAGACCATGTGGTAGATGGTTGGCAGCGCCAGGAAGGGCATCCTGAGGAGATATTCCCCCACAGTCACATTCTCTGCGGTGCCGGCCGCAGCACAAACATCGATCTCACGGTTGCTCATTTCGAATAGTAACGCTACCGATGCCTTGCCCTTCAGGTGTGGAAATAACAGGCCCAAATCGCCGTCAAAGAGATCCGTCAACTCGGCTGCCACCTAAATGCCTGTAGGACCACCTCCAACGTTAAAGATGTGAAGCAACTTCTGACACACGGGGCAATGACGCCATCTCGAGTAAATCGTTGAGCCGGCTGCGCATCGTGTTTGCGTTGGCCACATTCTTTACGAAGATTCCGTTCTCCTCCACACTGGGAATACCAAATGTGTTGCTGCGACATCCCGGCGTGATGACCATTTTGTCATATTTTCATGGAAGGCGTTGAACCGCTCATCCTTCAACTGTTTAAAGTCCGGTTGGCAGATAGCTGCCTGCGTATGGAAATCGATATCAATGACATATGCCTCGATATACCTAGCATGGAAGTCCCTTCGACGAATGGGCTCATGGGCAAGACGAGAATCAAAAAGCCCACAGGCAGCACTGGCAAGGAGAGGCGTCACTGCAGAAGTCTGGTGTTTTCGGGCGAAATGAGGGTGACATCTTGATGGTACTTGCGGTGGTCGATGCCGTGTCCTAGCCGGTAACCGCCCCATCTACTGCCGATGATGACTACTTTCTGCTTCTGGGCCACTGTTGACGTCTCGCCGTCGAGGTGTAATGGTGTCATACGTGCAGGAAATAAGGCGTGGGCAAGGAGGCTGTAGCGAAGAATCTCGCATTGCTGGGATTCCCCGATGCCACGTAGCAACTTATCATTATTTATACACAAGGACAGGCCAACGGCGGTCATGTCCAATCAACAGCATCTGTCGCAGCTCGCACATTACCATCCGTATTTGTCATAGGCGCATCAGGGCAGGCGATAGATGTGTCGACAATCATAGTTGCACAGAATTCTTATCTCGGTAGGTCTATTCGGCGGTTACGCCAATCCCGCTTCCATATGGCAGACGTCTTCTTGGAAAATCTTGAATCTTTCAACTTAATCAGGGTACAGTAGTAAAAGATGTCAACAGCAAACCAATTGACATCATTCGTCTCGGCATGCTATGCGCCAGACGGGGAGACTTGACTCGCTATTTGCTCGGGAATTCGGGACAATCGCGGCCTGCGGGATTCGATTTATATTGGCCCCGATCATCGGCGAAGTCAACTAGTTCGACCTCCAATATACGTGGCGCCGGCATCACAGCTGTTGATAATCTCTATTGGTAGGAAAATTAACGAAATTGTCATTGTCCGGCTTTTCTCCGTACGCGCGGGGGTTCTCTTGGCTCTGTTCGATTGCCACATGCATGTATATAAATACTTGCAGTCGCCGATCGTTTGGCAGTTTGTTACTGTATGTGCAATAAAACTGATCACAACACACTGCCTACTATACTTGCTACAATGACACTTTCCCTTCATCCTCTTATCGACGGTGGTATCGTCAAAGGCGAAGCCAATTTTGCCGGCGGAACCCTATACTGCCACTGTCCATCCGACAAGGTGGCCGTTTCGCTGAAGAGCAATGTCGCCCACAATCACGCCTGCGGCTGTTCCAAGTGCTGGAAACCACACGGTGCACTCTTCTCCATTGTTGGCGTTGTGCCTCGGGATAGCCTCTCCGTGATTGCCAATGGGTCGAAGCTCGTCGTCGTGGACAAGACGGCCGCAATCCAACGACATGCCTGCACAGACTGCGGGGTTCACTTGTACGGCCGAATTGAAAAAGACCATCCATTCAAGGGGCTGGATTTTGTGCATGCTGAGCTGTCTGACAGCAAAGGGTGGCAAGAGCCGCAATTTGCGGCCTTTGTGTCATCCATTATTGAGCAGGGATTTGATCCCCGGCGCATGGATGACGTGAGGGCCAAGTTCAAACAACTGGGGCTGGAAACTTATGACGCCCTTTCACCACCGCTTATGGATTTGATCGCCGTGTTTACAGCCAAAAAGGCGGGAATCCATTTTTCTGAGTCCTAGCGACGAGGGGAGGAAGCAATCGATCCACCATGGTGTATGGGTGTTTTCTTGAAAAGGGCGGATAGGTCGTACATCTACAATGCTTGATTTTGGCTCCAAGCGGTAGATGGGGGAGGGATGAACAGGTTATGCGCGTCGTTCGAGAGGAGGAAGAATGAAGCTGCCGACTAAGCCAATACGAGGCCCTAGCTGGACCAAGAGGAATGAATTCCTACAAGCTCAGTAGCGGAAAAATATGACAGTTAATTTGCAAACTTGACCCTCTCCAGTCATGCCATCTACATCGAGACACTCGCCATATACCCCGCATCGATGGATCCAATCAAGATGCCGAGATTCCACCGGTTGTGGGGTGCCCTCATGGCAGGTGGGGGGCTCTGGCTCATGAATGGCTTACCGATTGATTAGGGCTCGGTTAAGTATCCACCTCCCGTGGCGCTTGACAGGGGTGGACGCCGGACTCCGCTTTATGTGAAACTTGATGGTAGGGGATAAAGCACCCAACTTTATTCGCCTGCAAAACACCAACGGAGACAAATCATCATATTGCAATTCCTCAGGACATGGATGTGGTTCAATATTTGATCGATGAAGCCGATTCACGAACCTTTGTCCAAAACTCTGCCTCGGGGATAACCGATAACGGACAATAGTAATTCCAAGCAAAAAGGCGAGCCTGGGATCAATGCAAGCGGCTCACCCCCAGTGAAACAAACGTCAGAGATATGTAAGGAGAAACAGAAGTGGAAGCAGCCGCATCAATCCAATCTTCCTAAGAGAGTGGAGAATTATTTAAAGGAGAATTTGTTTAAGCTGGGAAACTTCGAAGAGGCTTGTAAATGTCTCTTTGGAAAATGTAAGTGGCAATTGAGACATGACCAAACACAAACGCTGGATCAAACCGTCATCACTTACAAGGTTCCTTGGCGCAGGTAATAACGATTAAACTAGCGTTCTCTGACCTGAACGATACCTCAATGCTGACGCTCAGGAGTGCTATAACTTTGTCAGATATTCCCCTATCATGTCACAAGTAGACTTGGAGGTTGCGTTACCCACGGAACCCAAAAAGAGCAAGATAGAAAACTGGAAGGAAGACGTGAGAAATCTCAAAAACATATTCACATTACTTAGAGACAAAACCGTGCCCCAGCTCCTAAAACTCAAAGTTATTGGCAACCTAATAAGAGACCGTAGCGATGGGACAATTACGTCTTGTCTGGAAGGTTTTGAAGTTCGCTATCCGGATTGGACCAACCGGCGAAAAATATACAAGTAGATGATGCTTGCAAAGGCAACGCACATTAAAGTTCTGCAAGGTGTATTTAATCCCAAGATACGTTGCTAAGCTCTAGGGATAGGACTAAGGAACACGCTAACACGGAGGTTAAGAGGGTCGGGTAAGCCAAGAAAGGTGTAACGGCTAAGGTTCCCAAGGGATAAACTAGTTATAGTTTATGTTAGCAGAGCCACTAAGGCAGTTAATCTAAGTAGTTAGGTATTATATTAGTAATAGGTTATAAACTATAACTAAGTGATCAGAGTTAAAGAGTTATAAGTAAAGCTTAGTTAATATAATAATTTATATTAAAAGCTAAGAAGCTAAAGTTTATTTATAAAGTAAACTTAGGGGTTCTTATATACTATAATAATTATTTATTCTAGGCGTAAATAATAATATTACTTATATTAGCTTTTATTATAATTACTTATACTACTTACTTTATATATAGTAAGTACTTTCTTATTAGTAGCTTAT